TTGGTTACTGGAGTGATAGTGAGGGTTCCTTGCTTGAACTTCAGCTCTAATATCAGTGCTGAATAAGAGTCCACAATGGCACATAGTCCCTAGGATGCAGTTATACTACACTGAAATCAGATCATACCTTAATATATAGCATATTCCAGTGTGCTGGTCAGTTGTTTGCCCCATCGACACAAACCTAGACAATACCTGGGGAAAGGGAATCCCGTCAGATAGGCCTGGAGATGTGTCGTGGGCATTTCCTGATTGCTAAATGATTGATGAGGGCCTGCCCCACTGAAGACGGTGCCACCCCAGGGCACACGGTCCTGATGGTCTAAGAAAGGTGGACGTATGAAGGCCTGGGAGCAAGCCAGTAAGCACCGTTCCTCTATAGCCTCTGCTATAGTGCCTGCTTCCGGGTTCGTGCCTTGAGTCCCCTCTGGCTTCCCTAGATGGCAGACTGTAACATGTAAGCTAAATAAACCTTTCCCCCCAGAGTTGCTTTTGGTCAGTGTTTATCACAGCAGCAGAAAGCAAACTTAGATGTGCAAATCTTCCTGATCTTGTAGCTTCTCAGCCTGAGAAGTGCTTCCAACCTTCCCCTATCCAGGTTTAACCCCTTCATGCAGAGTTGAACTTGTCTTTGCATTCCTGCCATGTCTTCTCTTTCATCTGTCTCTTTTCCTCTCTTGGTATGTGCCAGCTGGCTGGGCCCAGGCCTCCAGAGAGGCAGTATTTACAGCTCACTTGGGTGGATGCTGCATCTAGGGTAGCCCAAGGGCAGATGAAATGGCATCCAGAATAGGAATGCTGCACCTCTCTGCTCTGTCTTCTTTCAAATAAGGAAGAATTCCTCTCCCTCTCCCTCTGTCAAATGACAAGGAGTATTGATTGGTTTGGTACAGTATATAAAATATGCATATAATGGAATGGTATTTTTGGGAACTGTTAGCAGCATTGGCTTGCTGAGCCCCAAGATTTTGCCTTCCTCCCCCCTTCCGTTCCCTCCTTCCTAGTAACAGCTTCTTAGCAAATTACAAGCTCTGCCTCTGGCTTGCTGGGTAGCAGTAGCAGAGCAAGCTTTCTCCAGTTTCCAAGGGAGACGGATGCTGAGACTGCAGTGTTTCCCAGCAGCCACTTACCTTTCTTGCTGTTCATCTCCATGCATGTTTTGACCTTCATTCTGCTATGCAGGCCTGCACAAGGAGGTAACAGTCTGTTTTCTTGGAGTTCTGTGTGGAGGGGGGCAAAGGGAAAGCAGGGTGGTATGGGTAAAGGCATTTGGAGACAGCAGAGTATCGATACTGAAATTAGAAAAAAGTGGGCTCTGGGGTACTCTGTTCTTTGAGTGTCTTCCTGTTTGCTGTACCTATAAACACCTTGAAGGTGGGAACCCCAGCATTAGCTCATAAAACTGGACATTACTGCATATAAAAGCATAAGGTTATAGTAATATTGTCTGTGGGAAGCACAGAAGAAAAAGAGGAACTTGGAGAAGAAAATGTAATCAATTGCTCTCAAACACTCTATCTTCATGAATTCTGTTAGGTGTGTATTATACACATTTAAGGAGAGAGCTGAGAATATGCCTTTTCAGTATATTCTCAGAACTCCAGAGCTGTGCTTCTGAGTGTCATAGTCAGTATTCCTGTCAGTATTTAAATTCAGTGATAAATAAGTTAAAGGTAATGTCCTCTGTTGCACTAGCTACATTTAAAATGTTCAGGAGTCACATGTGGCTACTGGCTCCTATATTAGACTGGATATTGGACACTCTCGTTGTTATGCAAAGTTCCATTGAAGGAACTAAAGAAAGTGATCCATAGACTACGGAAAAGTTAGTACAATCAACTGTCTGTATCACGAGTTTTGAATCTGGATTCAACCAACTCTGGGTTGAAAATATTCAGGAGGAAAAAATACATCTGTTCTTAACAGATAATTTTCTCTTACCATTCCTTGGTTAACATTGTATCACTACCAGTATCATAGCTTTTACATTGTATTGGGCAATGGAAATAAGCTAGAGATGTTTTAAGGTATATATATTTAAAGAAGATATAATATATCTGCAAATGCTATATGGTTTTATGTAAGAGACTTGAGCACTCATGGCTTTGGGTATGGGGAGGGGTACCAGAACCAACCCCCTGGAATAATTAGAGATGCCTGTATTTGGCCAGACTAATGAATAGGCTTTTAGCAAGAAGATGTAAAGGCCTTTTGTCCACAGTCATCATAAATATGGATTCACTATGGTTACAGATGACTGAAGTCTTGAAAAACACTTTGCCTACGACTTTACTTTGTGACTGAGAATACTAAGGTCCTAAGAGACTGAAGGAGAACCCAGCAGTCTTTTTGACCTCCCATTCCATTCTGCGTCAGGTTACACCTGACTGATTACAGAGCCTATTGCATCCTCTAAAGGAGAATCTAGTCCCTCAGATTATTTCTTTTTTATGGTTTGTTCACAGCAGCCTTATAACATTTGATGGCAACTTCTGCAAACGTAAAAGCCAGACTGTTCAGTATGACAAACTTTAGGGAGCGATCAGGATGCCAGAGGAAGGCCAGGGTAAGACACATCCATCTACTCACTCCTGCTGCTCGTAGAATTGGAGGAAGACATGTCTTGCTCCATTAATCCATATAGCTGGAATGTCATCATGTTTTGGGAAAGAAACAAATGGTTTTCATTGTTGAATAAAGTAAGGCAAGTTCTGGGTGCAAGAGAGCATTGTGATAATGTTTATGGTGAATGACCTTGTGATCTTGACTATTTTAATACTCTCAGGGGCCTTGATTGACTCGTCTGCAAGGTAGTGATAATTTTATCATCTCTATCCAGAATCTTAGAACTAGATCAAATTTCAAAGTCCTTTAGGCATTGGTCTACTGAAAATAACTACTAAGCTGGGCGGTGCACACCTTTAATCCCAGCACTCAAGAGGCAGAGGCAGGCAGATCTCTGCATTCGAGGCCAGCCTGGTCTACAGAGTGAGTTTCAAGATAGCCAGGGCTACACAGAGAAACCCTGTCTCAAAAACAAGAAGAAAGAAAAAGAAAATAACTGCTATAGAAATTAGACTTTATTATAAGGATTTTATGAGAAATTGTCTACCACCAAATAAGAAAAGAGAAAATTCCCTGAAAAACAGAGTATTTGTTTTCAAAACAGAAAATATAAATAAACCTATTACAGAATTTGAATATTTTATTTAAAAGTTTCCTCCAACGAGCACTAACTCAGGTAACTTTTATTGGTGAACTTTTTACATTATGTAACCCAAATCATACACACATCATTACAGAAAATAGATCAGGAGAAAATACTTCCAACACATATAACTTTAACTCACAAAGCTGGCTATTATACCACGAGAAGAGAAAATCAAAGTTCACATTCCTTTTATGACTGTGAGTGTAGAAATTTTGTTTGTTTGTTTTTGTTTTTTGAAACAGATTTCTCTGTATAACAATCCTGGCTCTCCTGGAACTCACAATGTAAACCAGGCTGGCCTCAACCTCACAGAGATTTACCACCTCTGCCTCTGAGTGCTGGGATTAAAGGTGTGAACTACCACTGCCCAGCTGAGTGAAGAAATCTTAAAGTACATAGTAGTAATACATTTGGGGTCTGGGGGCGTCACCGAGCTGGTAAAATGTTCGCCATGTCAGCATATGGTCCTGAGTTTAGATCCCCAGTACAAAAGCTGAGTATAGCAGCATGGCTATAGTCCGGCACTGGGGAAGTAGAGATGCGTGGCTCCCAGGGGCTTGCTAGCCACCCAGTCTAGCTAAACCTGTGAGCTCTGGGTTCAGTGCAGAACTCCACGCACACCTGGGAGTGCACACATATCCACACATTTATATATTGGGCTGAATGTGTGACTCAGCTGATAGAGTACTCGACTAGCGTGGACACACAGGCACAAAAGCAAAATATAAACACAAAACCTGGGTCCTTTTGTTTGAAACTTACAGAGTTTTCGATAAAAATCAATATGATTTTGCTAGACACGCATGAGGACCTGAGTTAGATCCCCAGCACTCACACACAAAGCTCTGTTGGCCCGCAACTGTAGTCTCGTCACTGGGGATGCAGGGAGAGGAGGTTTGCCACAGCTTACTGGTCAGCCAGTCTAGCCAAACCAGTGAGCTCCAGTTTCAGTCAGACTTTGTTTCAAAAAATCATACAGACGGGCTGGGGAGATGACTCAGTGAGTAAAAGTGTTTACCACACAAGTGTGAGGACCTGTGCTCACACCCCCAGAACTCACAGAGAAGCTGCATGGGTAGCAGCTCATCTGTCATCCAGGTGGTCCTGTGGGGAGATGGGAGGTGGAGACCAGTAGCCTGTCTCAAATAAGGTAAAGGTAAGGAACGATGTTCAGAGCTGTCCTCTAACCTCTATCCATATGCTGTGGTGTGTGTGCACAGTGAGATGTGCACGCCTGCATTTGTACACATTAATGTTCACCTGTGCGCGCGCACACACAGAATGATGAAGACACTTGACATCAGTCTCTAATCTCCATGGGAACATGTGGACCCATGCATCAGTGCATGCAAAGCCTTAGCCTGATTTCTGTAAGAATAGAAAGTTTTAGTTGAATTTGATGAGTGGTGTCTAAAGACATTTTACAACCAACAGCCCTTCTAGTGGTAGAGTACTGAGAACAGGAACAGAGAACGGATACTTACTGTCACCACCTCTCTTTAGCATGGCCTACAATTCTTGGTCATAACAGTATGACGAGAAAAGAAAAGTGTAAGAACAGGCAAGGAAGAAAAACTATGCAATTCTCTTTTTTCAGATGGCTCACTGCTGTGTGAACAGTGACACGTTAATAGCATTTACTGATGGCAGATAGCATCCTTGCCATCTTGACCTTGAGCAACACTTCTTTCCAGCATGCGGGAATGAATCCCTGTGGTGTGTGCAGTGCTTTTCCGTTCCTGCAGTGCATGCAGCAAAGGTGTTCCCTGCTGTTCCCTGTCTTCCCTAGATCGTATCTGACTCCTGTACGGGATGAGGAGGCAGAGTCTTTACGGAAAGCGCGCTCCAGACAAGCTCGGCAGACGCGGCGGTCTACCCAGGTAAGCAGTCCACCCTGCACCGAAGTGTTCTGTCTCTCTGCCTGCCAGTGGCAGTGTGTGCGTTGGAAGTACGACAGTGAGTGATTTCATTCCAGCCGCGTCATTAGCGTGTTACCGTGTCTAAGGCTGTGCTGTATAGAATCAAATTTCCAGTGTCTCTGCCCACCTCACCTCCCTTCCCCCAGCTTTGCTTATGAACTTTAAGAAGCCTCGTAGCCCTCCACACATGGAGAATCTCTAAGGAAACTGATAGCAGTTTGAAAAATGTTAAACATAGATACAGTTTCCATTTGACTCAGTACACACAGTCTACACTCTTAGATAAATACATAAAAACATATTCTCACATCAAAACTTATATAGAGAATTATATAACAGAATTATTCAAAATAGCCAAAAAATAGAACCAACCCAGTAATGTACTCCATAATAAGCAGGACTATCCTGTTATAAGTATATGTTCATTAACCAGTGAATGAACAAAATATGCCATGTCCACACAGTGAAGTATTATTTGGAATTAAAAAGTGATGTTACAGGGGCTTCAGCAGTTAGCACTTGGGACTCTTGCAAAGGATCAGAGTTCAGTCCCCAGCACTCACATCAGATGGCTCACAACTGCTTGTACCCCCAGCCCCAGGGGATCCAGCAGCCTTGCCTGGCCTCCCTTGGGCACCTGAATACACACACATAAACAGACATACACATAAGTAAAAAAAATTGAAGTAGTTACAGCTAACAACATGGATGAACTTGGGGAAAACTTTCCAAGTGAAACAGTCCAGGCACAAAGAGCCCACTTGTTCTGAGTCCATTGTGTGATGTATCCAAAATGGCACATCCAGAGAGAGGGGAGAGGGGAATTGATTAATGCTCAGGGCAGCAGGAAGAAGACTGGGAAGAGACTCGTTAGTGGGTGTGGTTTCTTTTGGGGGTGATGAAAATGTCCTGAAAGCAGATAACAGTGATAGTTGAAAGCTCAGAGTATTGTAGAAACCATAAGATCATATACATTAAAAAGAGAATTTTATGATATATGAGTTGTATTTCAGTTACAAAAAAGGTCTTTTACAGGAGCATGAAAACAGTTTAAGCTCACACTATCTTACAGAGGTGGGAGTGGTAGATAGATGATGTTTGCCAAACCAGGAAACCAGAAGATTAGTAAGATTAGTTAGAAGATTAGAAGATTAGTTCATAGTAGTCCCACCTGAAAATGTCGAGGGCATGACCTCAGGCTGTAATGGTCATGAGTGTGGAGGAAAGGCTATGAGTGTGGTATTGAAGGAGGCCGGCAAAGCCCATGTAGCAGAATGAAAAGGAACATCCAAAGAAATGAAAAGAAAACCAGAAAACAGCAATGGCATTTGAAATGAACGAGAAATCAGTGTGTAGCAGAAAGGAGGCACTCAGTGGTTTTATTTAGACGGTGCAGAAGTCAAGAAGGAAAGTTGATGACTGGGAACATTATACATAGCAGCAAAAAGATTGCTTCTGTCTTTCCCGACCCTCCCAGAATGGATCAGATGTTCTGCTTGTACTTTTGCTTGATGAGTGTATGTCTGTTTTTCCCATAGAATCCATCTTCCATGAAACCCAGGACTGTTTTTTTATTCTCATCAACATACATTAGAAAAGTTAGCCATTTCTCCATTTTTAAGCTTATCGTTCAGTGTTATTAATTCCCATCACCACTGTCCATGGAGCTCCAGAACATTCTTCATCTTTCCAAACTGAAACTCTGTATTCATTACGCAATAATCACCCTATGCAAGCAAGCAGTATTCTGTTTTCTTTCTCTGTGAATTTGACTACTTGTGAATCTCACAGAAATGAAACCATATACCATGTGTCTCGCTTGTTTGGCTTGTTTCTGGTAACATAATGCTAGGGTTCATTCACGTTGTTCATATGGCATCATTTTATTTTTTAAGGCTGTATTATATGCCACAATTTGTTTATCATCCCCTTTTAGTAGACACATGGCTACCATAATAATACCACTGTGCAAATGGCTGTCCACATGTCTCCAGACCCTGCTTTCACTCCTTTGAAGTATATGCATAGAAATATATACTGGCTTGTATGAGAATCTTTTTTTTTTCAAGACAGGGTTTCTCTGCTGTCCTGAAACCCACTTTGTTGTAACACGAATTCTAAAATGGTCTTTTGATAAAAAATAAACCCAGTACCAGATATTGGTGTAAATGCTGAAAGATCAGAGAGACAAAGGAACAAGCCATGTCTCACCTCACCAATTCCATCTCATGTAGTCTAGAGTGGCTTTGAACTCACAGAGATCCAGACAGATCTCTGCCTCCTGAGTGCTGGGATTAAAGGTGTTTGCCACCACTGCCTGGCCTCTACATTTAATCTGTTCCCTGATCTTCAGGCAAATTTTATTAGGATATACAGTGTATCACCACATTTTCCCTTTTTTGTCTAAAATAATAAAAGAAGGTTATAACTAATATAAGAAAACTAAATAATTACAATAAGTATATACAATGTATACAATCAAGAATTACATTAACAATGTCCAGTCCATAAATGTTTGACAAATTCAGAGAAAATACTTCATTATTTATCCTATTTTGGTGAGTCAAAATGTTGTACCTAATTCATGTTCTATTCTAACTTGTATTACCAACCCAAAACTATCTTTTGATGTCTTTCAAGCTTATACCCTTTACACCTCTTTAATGAGTTTCTTTTTTGAATTTGTTAACAAGGAAAACTATAACTATCTAGTCTTCAACTCCCTCAGAGACCTGAGAAGGAAATAATATTTACTGAGAAAGCAGGAAGTGCAAAAAATGTGAGAAATGACAGAGACAGCTGGCTGCCTGGACATTCACCTGAGGTTCCTCTGCAATATTGGGGCATCATCTTCAGCCTACAGGCGTAGAATATCTGACAGACTCATCTGTGAAGCAGGATTTTCTAAAGGGCCTTCCTACCTTGACTTGGCAAGGTTCAGCAGTCCTTTCTTTTGTGTCCTACTTGTCCATTTTGGACAGCATACTGTCAGCAGTTGAAACAAGGGCACTTTCTTGCCCAGTGGCTAACTTTTGCCACAAAGAAAGTAAGCTCCATGTGGAGTTTCTTTGATGCCCATCACCTCTCTGAAGTAGATTGGTTCTGCCAGGAGCAGACGTGTCTCATAATCATAAAAAAAAAAAATTTATGTTATTAAAACATCTTAAATGCCATATTCTGTAGATCTCTGAAGTGTTTGAAGATGACCTGTCTTTCTAAAATATATCTGTTTGACCTTGAAAACATAACTGACTACAAGTTTGATTGTAATGACTAACTACTAACTTTCATTTCTTTATATCCTAATTAGTTGGTAATAATAACTTTCAAGGACTAGCAATTTGCATTACATTGTTAAATGAGGCTGGCCTTGAACTCAGAGATCCGCCTGCCTCTGCCTTCCGAGTGCTGGGATGAAAGTTGTCCACCAACGCCGCCGCCGCCGCCGCCGCCGCCGCCGCCGCCGCCGCCGCCGCCGCCTGGTGATAATCTATTTTAATACTGAGGAGTTGCTGTACTAGTCTCATAATAGCTGCCTTGCTTTCCACTCCTGTCAGCATCCACAAGCATCCTCATTTCTCCCACTCTCTCTCAATATTTGTTTTATAGTTTCGGGGTTTTTAATTCACTCTAGTAAATGTGAAGTAGACGACTGACTGTAAATTTTTTTACATTTTAATTTTTTTAATGTAGAATGACACACATGTGGAAGTCAGGGGATAACTTGTGGGAGTCAGTTCTTTCCTTCTACCATGTGAGTCCCACATGTCAAACTCAGATCTTCAGGCTTGGTGGCATGTACCTTTATCCACTGGACCATTTCAATAGCCCACTGATTACATTTCTATTATCATCTTTTCCCTCCATGTACAGTAGATAAATAATCAGAATATATATGCATATAAATGTGTAGTTGAGTATATCAATGGGTGAGAAATAATGGTGGGGAAATATAGACTACTCTTAAATGGTTTTAAATTTATTTATGAAGTGACAGAAAAAGGTAGTTGGAGAAAGACACATAGTTAAAAGAGGAAGAGCCAAAGACATATAAGTATCTGATAATGAAACCATGCCTGTAATCCCAGCACTTGGAAAGTAGAGGTAGAAGAAGCAAGAATTCAAGGCTAGCCTCAACTACATAGTGACTTAGAGGTCAGCCTAGGCTAAATAAAGACTCTGTTTCTTTAAAAAAAAAAAAAAAAAAAAAAAACCTTGTAGGAAAAGACTCAGTAGAGAGAGCCAAGGTCCACATCAGAACTAGGAAGGATCTTCAGCCTCATCAAAATGTGTACGTGACTTTTGAAAATATTTTGTTAGATTCCCAAAGGGACTTTGGGTCCCCTAAAGAAAAATTATCCGTAAAGTAATCGTCCTGGTCCTTCATGTGGGGAGTGACCAGCCTCTGCCTGCTTCCCTCTGTTTCTCTGGCCTCCCTTCCTCTCCCACTCGCTTCGCCTTTGCTGAACTGCTGACAGACACCTGCGTCATCTCCAGCCTCTCCGGAGTCTTTGGACAGGCTCCCTTTAGCTATAGTGCCTCTTACCCCTCACAGCCTTCCAGAGCAGCACTGTTTGAAGTCAGGGCACAACTTCATTGCGTTCTGGTTTGAGGCAGGGTCCCTTGTGCCCCACTGAACACACCAGGCAAACTAGCTTATCAAGCTTGTGGGGAGTCTCCAGGCGCCCCTTCCCTTCTCTCCATAGGTGTGTTTTACATGGGTTTAGGGGATCCAGACTCTGGTCCTCTCACTCATTTATCCCCTGGGCTATATCTCTCCATGTTCTGGTGTTTTTATCTTAATATGTGCACAATATCTTATGATGATCATCTATTTTCTATGTAATTTCTGCTAGATTAAGTTTCTTGAAAATGGTGCTGGATTGCTAGTTCAACAGTTAAGAGCACTTCCTGCTCTTGCAGAGGACCTGGGTTCAGTTCCTAGTGTCTACACAGTGGCTTACAACTACCTGTAATCCAGTTCCAGGGGATCCAATGCCCTCTTCTGGCCTCTGCAGGCTTTTGTATGCACATGGTACACATCAACTCAGGCAGGCTTACACACATACTTAAAACTCAAAATTCAATAAAATCGAAGAAAGTTTCTTGAAAGGAATCACTTGACTTGCCTCTGTAATTTAATTGCTTAAAGACATCATTGATTTAAAAGAATGAATAAATTATGAATAGTTAAAATTTTTTGAGCCTGGAGAGAGTCCTGCAGTGAAGGGTGCTTTCTGACGACACATTGTCAGGTGACTTACAACTTCTATAACTCCAGCTTCAGGGGATCTGACACCATCTTCTGACCGCCACACGAAGTATACATGTGTACCCACACAAGGACATGTCTATACACATAATTTTATAAAATAAGAAGGATGTTATGGAGTTAGTACTCAGTGGCTGCCTTTTGGCTCCGGGACATGCCTCCTCTGAGAATGTAACCACTCAACTGGAATAATCTCACTCTCTTCTCAGTGCTCTCCTGCTCCAAGTCTCTATCATTTGCTTAGCTTCTGTCCTGCTGCTCCAATGATCCCGGGAGGAACATTAACTGTTAGACACCTCTGTGTGATTCCTAGAGTTACTCAGGAAGTGATGTTGGAGGGAATGCCAATGTAGTGTTTCAGGAAGTTTTATTGTTTTAGCCTAAATATGAATTTTTACCTTTTTGAACCAGGTTTTTAAAATTTGGTTTTTCCAGTATTTACTGTTCAGGGAATAAGATGGTAACCATTTCATCTTGGGAAAGGGTAAAGCATACTCAAATAATTGAGCACAATTTGCTATGGGCCAAATACATCTATAACAGCAGATATCACTGTTGACCTATTTTTGGAAGATCACATTGGGAAAGCTAAAGTATTAGTTCAGAGTGTATGTAGATTTAGGTCTGAGTTCTCTGCACACTGTGGTGCTTATTTTAAGCATGTGTTTCTAGAAATGGCCTTCTGTTGCATCTTGGGAGCGGCATTTGGTTGTTTTCGGGCAGTTTCCCTGCTCGAGAATGCTGTGTGTTAGTGTGAAACTGTCTTTACCATTTGATATTTTCCCAGGGTGTTACCCTAACAGACCTTCAAGAAGCAGAAAAGACTTTCAGCAGGTCGAGGGCAGAGAGGCAAGCTCAGGAGCAGCCTGGTGAGAAGCTTGAAGACCCTGGTGGGCTTGAAGGGAGTACCAAGAAGCAGGAGCCATCAGCTGCACCAACAAAGGAAGCTGGAGAGGGCCGGCAACCTTGGGGCCGGGGTCTGGAGGAAGAGGTGAGCTCTTTTTGCTCGCATGCTCTACACCACAAGTAATAGAATTGGTGCCCCTTCATCAGTGGTGCCCCAATGTGACCTGATAAATATTAGGGATATTTATCTTTGTGCATTTTGGTATTATTGTGAATTTTGTTTGTTTTAGTAAGTTATTATTTACCAGCTAGATGGTAGTGCACACCTTTAATCCCAGCACTCAGGAGGCAGAGGCAGGTGGATCTCTGTGAGTTTGAGGCCAGCCTGGTCTATGGAGTGTGTTCCAGGACAGCTAGGACTACACAGAGAAACCCTGTCTCAAAAAACCAAACCAAAAAAAAGAAATTATTGCTGAGTACTGGTTTCCAGATAGTGTTCAGGTCCCTAACACATTATCTAAACGCTCAGCATCCTGCCTGAGGATGGTTTATCCCTGTTTTACATATGAGGATGCTGAGGCTCAAAGAAGTTAACATATTCAAGGTCACACAGCTACTACCTGCAGAAGTAGGCTTTAAGCCAAGTTCTATCTAACCCCAAAACTTGCCAACCTCATTGGTTCTGTCTTTATGGCTTGTCAACTAAAAGTATGTAACCTCTACATTGTGAACTTAATTTATAGTAAGAATTTTATCTTGAAGAATCTTCAGTTAATTAAGTTAAGGCTCATTGTTCTGTGTTTTAACTCTCAGAAAACAATTGGAAGGGTAAAATAGAAATTTTAAAAAGCTTCAGGGAAATGGAAAAGTAGTTTGATGGTACAGCCTTGCGTAGCATGTGCCAGGCCTGGGGCTTTGATGCCCAGAACATGAAATGAGCTCTTTGTGATTCGTGTGGCATGTTGGTGGAGTGTTCAGACAGTGGTGGAATGGTCACATTTGCTCTCTGTCCTCAGGGCATTGCCACACTCTTGCTTCTTCACACCTGAGCTTTTTATTTCCCGTGTACCCTGTTACTGAGCACCTCATCTCAAAATCAGCATTGCTTTTCCCATTTTCAAGGTCAAAAGAACTTTTATTAACACTGAGCTATTTAGTGCCCTGTAGCTGAAAGTTTCTCTGATCCGCCTGGCACCTACAGTCCCGTGGCCCGCTTATAAAATACACTCAGAAGCTTATGTTAATTATAACTGTATGGCCATTAGCCCAGGCTAATTACTGACTAGCTCTTACATTTAAATTAACCCATTATTCTTATTTATGTTTTTTAAAATTAATTTTACTATGTTAAAGTTAAAACCTTCCTTTTTAATTAAACAGAAAAGGGGAAATGCCGTGGGATAATGCTTTTGTACACTGGTTTAATAAAATGCTGATTGGCCAGTAGCCAGGCAGGAAATATAGGCAGGATAAGCAGACAAGGAGGATTCTGGGAGAGGAAGGCTGAGTGGAGGAGATGCCAGCCTGCTGCCCAAGGAACAACATGCCAGCAGACCGGTAAGCCACAGAACACATGGCAAAACATAGATTTATAGAAATGGGTTAACTTAAGATATAAGAGCTAGCTAGAAAAAGGCTTGAACCATGGCCATGCAGTTATAATTAATATAAACCTCTGGTGTTTACTTGGATCTGAGTGGCTGCGGACTGGGTGGGACACAGAAAAACTTCAGTTACAGTGCCTGTTGGTCATTTTAGGAACAGTTTGTCTTAACTGCTGTGATCATAATGGTGTCCTCAGAAGAAGTCCAGAAGCTGTTGGTTCCTGACTTCTTACTAACTCTAATTCAGCTGATAGATGCTGATTGAACATCAACTGTTACTAAGTCTCCTTCGTATTGAAAAGTCCATTCTGAAGAAGCCTACTCTCTCTATCCTTTGATTGAACTTGACCACTAATATCTCATCCTGTGGATTATTTCCAGCCTGTCTATCATCGCCTAAGGTGTCCAACTCAACCAGACAAACCCACAACACCGGTGTCTCCTTCCGCGTCAAGACCCTTACTCTACACTAGTTCTCATCTGCTCCGGACAAGTAGAGCTTCAGACCCTGATTCTGAGAATTCAGAGACCACCACAGACGCCACAGCTGCAAGGGAAATGGACAAGAATGGTATGTAGAGTTTCAGAAGCCATTGCTCAGTGTTCACGGCCCAGGTTTTAAGATCCACATTCTGTGTAATCTTTGGACAGAGAAAGAAGGAGCTGACTTGGATGATCAGTCCTCTAACAGGCTGTCTCTCCGAGAGAGGAGGCGACCTAAGGACAGGCGAAGAGGCACGGGCATTAACTTCTGGACAAATGACGTAAGTACATTGTTCTGAACAGGGCACACCCTATCACCTGTGGCTGCCAGCCTCCTTGTTGAGGTCAAAAGAAAGAGCCCATATAGTGCCATGACTCTCAGAGAGATGGCAAAGAACTTTTACTAAGAAAAACAGAAGACTCCATGAGTGTGGGACTCATTTGAACTGTTTCTGCTGAGTACCTAGAGCAGTACTGGGCACCAAGTAGACACTCTGTAACTGATAAAGACTTTGGAAAGCTGGAGTTTTGAAGCTACCATGTAAGTAAGTGGATAAATTTGGCAAATTTTAACAGTCCTCTCCAATAGTCCCTGAAAATCATGTAGTCGGCAATATCTTAATACTACCTTTAAGCTAAGATTGAACTATTTTAGGGTGATAAGAATTTTGAAGGAAGGGGCTGGAGAGATGGCTCAGTGGTTAAAAGCATTCATTCCTTCAGAAGAATCGGGTACGGGTCTCAGCACCCACATGGTGACTCACTGCCATCCGTAACCCCGGTTCCAGGGATCCAACAGGCACACACATGTGCATATACTTGCATACAGGCAAAACATTCATACATGTAAAGTGAATAAATATTTCCTTCTTTTTTTTATTTTTGAAAAGTTTTAAAAAAATTTTTAAAGAACTTAAAATCTGTAAATTGACACAGGTTTAATCTGACTCAGTTTTACCTTTCTGGAGGAAAAGGATCAAATAGAGAACAGGTCGCCAGTGCTTACTAAGCACAAACACACACAGTACTTCAATGCACTCCCTTCATAGCTGCTTCTAACCTTCTCATTCAAGCCTGCTACTGGCATTTTTTAAACCAAGTAACCAATATCCTAAACCAGAGGCCCCTGGTTCCTAATGACCCATTGAAAATTAGATAAAACTATTCAGCAAGACAAGAAATGTAATAGTAGTGGTTACTCATTACAAATTATCTTTTAGCAAAGATGCATTGCCCTGTCTTAGGACTAAATTGATAGTGTTTTGTTTTTGCCAGTGCTAGGACTTGAACTCGAGGCCTTGCACATAGTAGACTAACAAACACTTTACCAATAAGCTGCATCCCCAGACCATAGGCTGACAACTTTTGACAGAGTGAAATGAAGTCTTGCTTTTTGAAAAATACATTTTTACCAACAGTGATGTTTCTAAGTCCCCTGCCTATGACAGCTGTTCAAAGTGGCAGTAGTGGCATTACTTGACTTTCAGTTTTCATTACCCATGTTTGAAATGCCAAGAAGCGTGATTGATAGGAACTGACCTTGTTGTTTTCAGAGAGGTCTGTGGCTATGATCCTTTTGTTTTCCTCTTCTTTCCATTTCAGGAGGATGAAACAGATGTCTCTGAAGAGGTCAAAGAAACATGGGTAAGTGACAAACCAGTGACACAGTCCCTTTAGGACTCAGCCTTGCTTCTTGGCATAGGAGATGAGCAGATCTATGCACATGTGGGTTGGGGGTGAAGATGAGCATTCTTCTGAGCAGTGTGGCAGGTGCTTGTTGGGGCTTCTTTTTCCTGTGCTGTAGCACTGGTCACGCTCCTGAACAACTTTCCAGTGTCTGCTGTGCCAGCTGCCAGTCGTCAACACCATTGCAGGCTCCACAGTTTCCCCCCGTGATACCAGTTCCTACTGGTTCTCTTCTAACAGAGAACATAAACTTGGAGGCCATTTAAAAGTTAGTTATATTTGTCTTTGAAGTGAGGGTAACTTGACCTTTTGACGCCTGACATCCAGGTCCTCTTTGCACTGAAAGGCCTACACCTGGCATTCCTCCTCTGAGCTACTTTGATGCCTCTAAACACTGGGGTATTATTTGCAGGAAAGAGGGAATTTGGTTTTTACCAAATTAATACAAACCTGTGTACTTTACTTTTCAAAGCATATAAAATGATAGCCTTTTAGTACCATATACTTTATTATTATACATTTATTCTCAAAATATACTTAATGTTCAACAACTAGCTCCTTTTTATCAGTGGAGACACAGGTAGCAAACTGTCACTGCTCTATCTAAATAGTTAAAATCCCAAACAATAACTGTATGGTGGTCTTAGGAGTCTGATGGGAGGATCACAAGTTTTTTGATTTCGAGGTTTGTGTGTGTGTGTGTGTGTGTGTGTGTGTGTGTGTGTGTGTGTTCCTGCTCATGTGTTGAGAGATAGAGGTGGGTGCACTTGCATATGTGTGCACATGGTATGGAGACCAGAGGTCAACATCAGGTGATTTCTTCAACTATTCTCACCTTGATATTTGAAAAGGATCTCCTACTGAACCTGAAGCTCAAACTGGGCTAGCCCGGCTGGTGAGCCGAGTCTGTGGATCCTCCTGCCTTCCACCTCCCAATGCAGACATTACAGGCATGCAGCACTGTCTGGCCTGTCTGACCTGTTATAGAGGTGCTAAGAATCTGAATTCAGGTCCACTTTACCATCTAAGCCATCTCCAGCTCCTGTATGACAAACTTAAGGCCAGAGTGGGCTATGCAGTGAGACCTTGTCTTAAATGTGGAGTGGTAATTAATGATAATATGGGTAAGAACTGTCTACCTTGATTGATGTTGAGGCTGTATAACAAAGATGAATTGTGTTGTTTAGAAATAACACATAAAAATCTCTTGGAGCAGGAGTGTGTGTGTGTGTGTGTGTGTGTGTGTGTGTGTGTGTGTGTGTGTGTGTGTGTGATTGTGTATGTGTGCCAGCAACTTTCTAGTCCTTTAAGGCAGTGGTTCTCAACTTGCCTAATGCTGGGACCCTTTAATACAGTGCTGACCCCCAACCACAAAATTATTGTCGTTGCTGCTTCATAACTGCCGTTCTGCTACTGTTATGAATTGTAAATATCTGTGTTTTCCAGTGGTCTTAGGCGACCCCTGTGAAAGGATCATTCAGCCCCCAAAGGGATCATGACCCACAGGTTCAGAACCGCTGCTTTAAGGGGTTTGAAAAGGCTTTTGGAGACAGAAAGTTCCTTTGGGGAACTATGCTTAAACAGAGACTCTGAATGACAGATTCCAAAGCGCTGGAAAGGACCATAGTTCCTATAGGGTTAGTACAAACCGATTAGATTCCAAGGATTACAAGGAAAGTTTTGTTGTCATAGAATGTCAGTAAAAATCTCTCTGTACTAAACTAATTCCACTAGAAAATCCTAGCCTAGGGTACGAAGTAAGAAGAATTAAAATAGGCTTCTTAGGGAATTTCATTTTAAGACTGTTGGATTAAAACCATGGAAAAGACTTTCTGGATTTGTGTAGAAAATCATGGATTGTTAAGGTTTGACACAGAGGTCACTTGTCAGACTAAAGGATATTCCTTTTATCCAATTATTTGTGGCATCTACTAGTGTTTTCCATATGTCAGGCATCCATGTTAATCTAAGCAAACAATAAGCAGCCTAATCCCTCTAGATGGGTAACTTTGTATGTATGTAGGTAAGCTAGGGTTGATCCAATCACTTGCCAGGAGGTGCCATTCCCCAGTACTCCTCAGCGTTCTGCAAAGGAAAGGCTGCTGATGAATCAGCCTACATGAGGCCGGCCGCCTTTTTGAAATAGTCTTATGTTTGCTTGTTCCTTTACTGGTTGGTTGTTTTCCTTCCTGGTGCGCTCTTTGCTGGTGCTCGTAGGCATTACCCATATGGGCCCACAGGAAAACAAATCTGATGATGACCCAGAATCAATTGCTGCAATCCTACCTAAAGACAGTCAGTAGTACCTAATGATTCTTAGGACCGTTCTCTCTCTTTCCTATACCATACTGTCCATCCGTTGAGCAGTCAAGTTGACTCGGCTCTGTAGGAACCAAAGTGCCAGTTAAAAGAGGGACATTCTGTTGAAGTGGCACTGGAGCCAATCAGTGTGGATGCTGTGAGAAGCCAGGGCAGTTCTTCCCTCTCTTGTTATATATAGGTTCATTGAAATCATATCTACTGTTGAGGTTGTGCCAGCTGCTCTCTCTTCCTTGAGTCGTGATATCTCTTGTTTTTAAAGTTGACTTCCCCAAGACTCTGACATCTACTTTTCAACTGAAATAAAATTTATAATCAGTAAAATACATAAATTTAAAATGTACCATTTGGGGAATCTTGACACGTATCTGCCGGTGTAACTACCACCCAGCAGGATATGGAACTTTTCCATCCCTCATAAAGTTCTCTTTTGACCCAAAAGGCAATCATTTTTCTGATTTGTCACCATAATTCTGTATGGAGTCATACAGCGATATTTAATTTTAAGAAGCAAATTTCAGTGGTTATTATCTCTACCATATGACTCCACTTGGGATTCGAGTAAAATGATTCCTAATATGAGTCTTTCCTTTCTTTTTAAGTGCTTTAAAAGATTCCTTAGTGTCTCACCCAATAACAGCTGTATGGCTTAGAAGGCCTTCTGTGTAACATAAGCTCTGCTGACATCACTAAAATCCATTTCCTCTTTAGATACTTATGAAAATGTAACTAAGATGGATTTACAGATGAGGTTCATGGCCAAGGATAACACTGATGTTTTTGGTGTACGGAATAGATGATGGAGAGATGAGTCACATGTTGTTATTCTTGGGACCCTAGGGAACACAATGAAAAGTCTGGGAACCTTACTTAAGCTCAGCAGAGTAAATGGTTATTGTCAAAACCCACTCCATTGATAAATCCACCAGCTAGTGAAACTAACAAAGAATATGTAATTTGAAATATTAGTACCTCTTTAACAGATATGTTTAAAACAAATCTGTTTCATTATCTACAGTAGGTATTTAACAGGTAATCTCTGGGAATTGTTAGATATCTTTTGTATTATTACTAAGTGAAAAAGGCGAATTTAAATGTTAATATAAATGTCTTTATAATCAGGAGAGTGCTCAGTGAATAGTAGTCCTACTTCATCCATGGGGAATATTTTCCAAATTGGGGTGGGGTGGGGACTGCCTAAAATTGCAGGTAGAACTGAACTTTACATGTACTATGCTTCCTCTCATGACCCTAGGATGAATTTTAACCTACAAGTCAGTCACAGTAAACAGTAATATAACAGAACATCTATAGCTGTATACTGACTAAAATGACCAGCATCACTACTCCTACATTTTCAGGACGTTACTTAGTAAAATCAGGGTGACTTGAACACAAGCACTGCAATCTCGATGTCTTAGCAGTTGATCTGATTACTCAGAAGGCTCCTAAACGACTAATGGGGGATATGGCAGGTTCTGGACAAAGAGATGATTCGTGTTTCAGGCAGGACAGAGCAGGGTGGTGTGAGATCTTATCACACTACTCAAAATAACACACATTTTTTAATGTATGAACTGGCTATTCTGGAATTTCCATTTAATCTTTTCAAGCGGTCTGACTGAGTAGCTAAACCCGTGGAAAGCAAAACTGCAGGAAAGGTTTGGGTGGCTGTTGTGGCAACGCCAGTCTAGAGTGTCTGCTGTGGACCGAGCAACCATAGGCACACTTTGAACCCTTTCGTCTGTTCCGGCCTTCGTCTTTGGCCTATCTTTTGCATGACATGAAGTTGGCTTGTTTTTTCCCATCTTCTGGGTCAGTCAGTTCCCAGCATAATCCTGTTGTATAACTGACTCCATCACTAGAGGGCGCAAGTAATCAGCAGAGAAGATGTTGGTGAGCAAGCAAAATGATGCCCTAAAAAGAATCAGAACCGCAGACAAACTGCTTTTGCTTTTAAAGACTTGTTCAAAAAGCCAGTTCAGTGTAGTAAAGACATTTGCCTTATAACTCTATGTATCATGAGTTACAAGATGATGTACAGATAACTTGGTTCAAGAACTTATTCCCACAGTTAAGAAAACTAAGACCCAAAGAAACAGATTATTTGGAGACGTGATATCTCTGGCCTGCATCAGAGAACCTTTTTTATGTGTCCGTAGTGACCAGACCTGAGAGTATGACTTACATTCTTTGCCATACTCTGTCCATCCATTTGGATTTTTTGCCCAGCAGGTTACATGTTTGAGTTGACTTGCTAGTAGCTTCTGACCTTCTTGAGTGAAGGAACATCTTACAGAACTTTAAGCTACTCAGAGAGTATCAAGATTCAGTGGATAAGAGCATCACCATTCTTCTGCTGCCCTTGACATAGATGGGTAGCAATTTCTATCAGCAAGTAAGAGTTAATATCCTTTTGTTAGGAAAGGCCACCCCCACCTGTAATTCACTGAAGCTTTTCTAAGAGAATCAGATGATACTCAATCCGAACAAATTTATTGAAACTTTACCCTCTAAGTAAGCTGTGGAGCTGTCTTAATCCTGAATGGAACTAATAGATTGCATTAATTAACTACCCCTTAAAATGCATTGTTAATGCTGCTGGCCAGCTAGTGGAGAGATCTGTTGGTAAGGTGCTC